GGCAAGAGCATTTTATATATGGACAAGATCAAGGGAAAATAGGAGAAAAAACAGAAAAGTAGAATAGTCTGCTTAATTTCTCCCCTTGTGACTTTTGTAGAGGTAAACAGTGTTGGAAGTAAGCTATAGGTTCTGCTGGCCTCGTCCATGTTTGGGATAGCTGTCTACATCCAGAGTTGTCTGCTGCTGGCTGTGTGGAGATCTTGAGTTTGAGATCATCACTGACTTTGCTGGTCCATTCAGGTCCTGTGACTCTTAAATAGGGACGGATGCCTTCACGTTTGGCTGCACAGGAATTGGTGAGCCATTCAGGTCCTGTGACTCTAATAGGACGGATGCTCACGTTTGCTGCACAGGAATTGTGAGCAGTACCAGGAAGGTCTTTCCAACAAAGGAAGAGGGAGTCCTTTAAGTTATGTCTTTTTCAGTAGACATATTCTCTAGGACAGCGGTCACCAACCAATGGTCCGTGAGTTCTGAAAGGTTGGCAACCGCTGCTCTAGGAAGTAGGTCATGAGAGGAATCAGAGGTCAGGCTGTATTCTGTTCAGCATAGGCTTCTTTAACTTTTGAGAGATGTTATTGGAAATAGAGAATCAGGAGCTATCAATATTTTAATAGATCACATTGGGGATCTGATGGTCAGAGTATGGGGAATGAGGCAGCTGTATGGGTCTGCAGGTTACTATTTCACAGGAAGCAAGCTTATGTTTTTCAAAAGTTAAGGAAGGACCCTTAGATTCTCCAGAACAGTGACAGCACCTTGCTCCAGGGAATTTCCAAGGCTCACAACATTTTCATAATTGGGTTTTAATGATGCCACATTCAGCCTTTCTGCTAGTCCTGAAGACTGAGGGCGATATGGGCAATGCAGCCTCTGTGGACCAGAGAAGGGGCTCCGCAGAGTTCTTGGATTGCCTGGCCAGGAAAATGAGTTCTGAGGTCACTGTGCCAAGCAGTAGGGGCGCCCCAGGGAGGGATGATGTTTTCAAGTAATTTCTTTGCTACAAAAAAAAGCAACAGGGAAAAGCTTCTACCCAGTGACAAACATACAGACTATGACCAGCTCGTGGTCATATTTGTTCACTTGTTTTTAACAATTGTGTTTAGATTAATCAAGAAAATTTCTCAAGATATTTAACAGTGAACCAAATCTTGTTATTTTCCTTGCTGACAAATTGTGTAACAGAGATAACCAAACTTATTTGACCAGGATATAAGTTGTTTTTCTGCATTATAGTAAAGCTGGTAACTCTGAATACATACCTATTTTAATTGAACCAACACACTTAAACTAGCTTTTATTTACTAAATATTTATCCTAGATTACATAAACTTTGAAAAACATCTGGGTTAAGTTTCTATATTTCTGAGCATTTAAAATACTTAATTTGATAAGTGCTTATTTTCCTTTAAGCCAGTTAAATAGAGCTCATTTACAAACTAATTTTGGTAATGCTACCCAGAAATAGAAAAACATTACCTATTTGCAATATATATACATAAACATACCACAGAAATTTTAATTTTAAAATTTTGGTCTTGAGATAAGTACGATAATACAAAAGTCACTAGTTTATAGAAAAAACAGATGGCCACAAATAAGGTTTCTGGCAGAATCTTAAAGATTCCATTTCTTTAGTTAAGCATTGGTCTCTCAGAGCCAAATTAATACCTCAATGCCTGAACATGTTCTTGAGGTTGGCAGGTGATCCACTGTCAGTCTAGCTAGCCTGTTCCATGACCACCTTATCCTCATATGAGTCTTGGAGTTAGTTGGGAAGCCCTCTAACAGCTTTAAGTGCTCAACTTGTGCCCATCAGTTTTGCGGCTTTGGCTTCTGAGATTCCCATTAACCATAGAACTATTACTCCTTTACCTCATGTGCACATTGACAGAAACCGCCAGTAGCCAGAGAGATGGTACAGCGGACTGGCCAAGAGAAAGCCTTAGGTGTGCACCTGCAGCAGCTCCCAAAGTAAAACTGCAGCCTGAACCAGTGTGCACTGTGGACTAACCAAGGGCTAGTGATTGGTGCTCTGTAGAGCTTCTTGTCAGTCCAGACTAACCCATTAGGCCTGTACTGGACCCAATAGATGATAACTCAACGCAAAGAG